TGATTAAAAATGTAATAATTTGAAAAACATGTGTAGTTATGGACAAGATTTTTTTTTAATCTGTGGCTAAGGATTAGTTGTTCACCACTTCACTGCTTTTTTATAATTGAAGGCATTCTTGCACTTAAGCTGTTGTGTTGTCACATTAAAAGCTACATTAGGCAATATCTTTGCTGGCGATACCAGATAAATGCCTCCTTCAAGGGTGAAAGGGTTGCCACTTGCACTTAGAATCAACACATTAACTCATTTTAATCTTTTACAAAAACAAAAAAAACGGGTTCGATGTTTTTTTAGGCAAGAAAACAAAAACAAGTTGTTTTTCTTATCAGATTGCAGAAGAAAACAGAAGTGAAATGGTTTCAAATTTCTTTGTTTGAGTTCTTTCTTTTTCCACATATTTTGAGAGTTGATTTGCCTGCATTGATTGGTGCAATTGCTACTCATTTGCACAGGCGACAAGCAGAGTGTGCCAAAACTGCCAGGATCCAGATGGCTTTACCACCAGGAGGGAAAAAAGCTCCAGCCGCTGCTCCGAGTGCTAACCTCTATGAGGAGCTTGGCGACAGCAGCATGTGAGTTATGTCCCTTTGGTGTCTGTCTCTCATCCCACACATCCAGCCAGTTCCAATAACCTGCTGGTTGTGTATACGGCTGTGCTGGTTTCTTCCACTGAGGATGAGATTAGAAGAGTCACTCCAGATGAAGGCTTTTTTTTCTTCCTTTTTCTTTTTTTTTTTCTTCGCGCATCGATAATTTTAGATTCGAAATATTAGTCCTCTCTTCCAAATAACCCACCTAGCAACTCTGAATGTTTCTCACTGCTGCCTCTGACATGTTACTTGCTGCACCACTGAGTTTCTGCCCTCTTTGTCTCTTTAAAAATGTTCCCCTTCTAATTTCCGCAAAACACGAAAGCCACTGCACAGCTGGCGATTCGACTTTAGCTTATGTATGTGTTTCTAATCTGACTGCGTATGCATTTTGTAAGTCCCTCTCTCAAGGTAAGCGTGTGTTCATAAATTATTTTAAACCTTACTTTGATTAATACGTACACTACGTTGAGTGCTTCTTTATTTTCCCCATGCGTCCAAAACGTTTTGCCATCAGCACAATTTGATTTCCCCTATAAAATTAAATGCTGCCCTGAGTGTGTAATGAAATGGTAATGCTTGTGGATAAAAGAAGTTTGAACTGAATGAGCTGCCCTGCTGGATTTAGTCATTTTGATTTACAGCATGTTAAATAGTCCTGCGACTAATGTCACTATTTATGTTTTAAGGAGGAAATAGCGTTTTAATAACTGGGATTAAAGAGCTTTTGTCATCGTTGCAACTTTTGGTTCCCTAGCATAAGAAACCATGTCATTTACTTAGGTTGTTCCCAACATCTTTACATCTATGCAGATCCTCCATCGTAGAACATTGTGTGTGTGTGCTTTGCATTAATGAAGCTGCACACAGATGTTCACAACACAAGTCAGAAAGCTCACAATGTAGAAAATTGTGCCTACATTTTGTCAGTGCCCCCATTTATTTTCTGTCATTTATGTTTCTTTGTGTTCTCACCATCTGTTTCTATACTTCCATCATATCTCGTCTCTCTGGGTTCAGACTGCAGTAAGTAATCATTCTTTTCAAAACTCTGCATTAGACTGATATTATGCGTAATTACCACACAACAGCAGCACCCTCATTTCCCCTCTCCTCATCATAGCTTTTGCTGAACAAATGCAGAACCATTGCAGTTCACATCTGCATTTGGTGTGCAGCCTATTGGAGGAATTTGTCAGTCAGTATTGAAAGCATTTTAAGCCAGCACTATTAACTGACCTTGCTGAAGGAGTAGCGTTTTGAATGGGAGGAAATGTTGTCAGGTAAAAAGATGCGCTGCTGGTTGTTGAGAAAAAGCTTGCTCCAGAAGATGGGCCCATAGATGACTTTTCTCACCTTTCCCATTAGACTGCTGTCTGTATTGTGTGTGTCTGCTTTTATCACATTATATGTTCATACCTCTGTGTTGTGACAGATTTTGCAAATATATCTCTTGTGGTTTCACAGTTATCATTTTTACATTCAACAAAGCCGGTATGAATGTTGTTTCTTTTCTTAATACGAAGTTCATAATTGGATTTTGCTCTTGATTAGAAACTTTATGTCATTATTGGGTTGTGCACAGCTAGTAGGTTGGTGGTCAGTGGTGGAATCTTGTAATCCTGAGGCTGCAGGTTTGAGCCCAGGTTGCATCAGGCGTAAAACTAATGCCAAATTATTCATGCGAGTTTTCTCACTGTGATGACCCCTGCAGAAGGGAGCAGCTATAAAAGTATTTAAAAAGTTCACAGAACACACACAAGTTATTGTTTAGTATTGACATCTAGTTGATAATTGAACTACATTTTAGCTGGTCTAAAACTACAAACCATTTACGAGTTAAATTCTGTCACAATACAAAGAATCATAACTCAGTGTTGCTATTTTTTTTTGTCGCTGTCTTTCTTAGTTTGCTTAATCGTAGCTCATTCCTTTTCACTTGTTTCAAGTCTTCTTTCTTTTTCACTACCAACTCTTTAATGGAACAGGGCTAAAAAGTCTCTCTTTGAAGACGCCAACAACCAGAAGATTCTTAGCAGCTTCGCCTGTCGCCCCACTGCAGCCCGTTGCAACGGAGCACTGCTCGTCAGCTTGCCCAAATCCGAAAGCAACGTGACCCTCCTGTCTGATGGCAACCCCATCACCGTTCACAACCCTTTGTACGATGAGAACAGTCCTCTCAGCAGTCCTTTAACCTTTGCACGGGGTGAGAGAGCACGCGGAACGCAACTCTCCTTTTCTCCCTCCCAATCAGCAGGGTCAGGATGTACCTGGCCAATCCCTGCTCACATTCACAGAGGGCATCAGAGCAACGAGGTGCCAAGAAGACAAGGTCTTTTGGATCAAGCCAACTGGGAGCTGCAAATACTCCAAGAGGTTATTGGAAACAAGAAAGCAATGTCAAGTTTGAGCACACCTTACTTGAGTGACAGCACAGAGACCAAGTTGTCAGTTCGTGAGCAGGCCAGGCAGTTCGAGAAACAGGCTTTTCAGGAACAAGCCCTTAAGCAAAATAGAGACTCCCATGGCTCCCTTTCTTCAATCCTTGTCAGGGATATGGACAGTGATGACATGCTGGAGCTGACCTCAGAAACCCTGCTTTCTATCATGGATTACCCTCATAGCCCTACATCTATGGGCAGAGATGTGTCCCCCGGCTTTATCGTCGCACAGGCTGATGAGTCGTGGCCCCTTTCCGACCAGAAACCGACCCCACCTGTTTTGAGAAAGCTCAGTTCAAGTATCTCCAACTACATGACAGCGCAGCCTTGTCAGATCACTGTTGAAATGATTCCAGACCCACCAGAAAACCCCGCACCCCCTCCTCCGTCTAATCTGCATTCCCCTCCACCCTCTCCGCCCACATCTCCTCCACCAGCTCCTCCCTTCGGTCCCCCTTCAGGTCCACCTTCACCTCCCTTCTTACGCGAACCTCAGCGCACCACGTCGTCCTCCCCTCCCCTTGTCTGTAAACCACTTGCTCCACCGCCGCCGCCGCCTCTTCCTCCTCCCTCGCCTATTAACGAGCAGCCGCGTCCTGTCATCCAGTTTGTCCCGACCACTTTACCCCCTTTGTCGTCTCTTCGTCCCGTCTCGGAGAGAAAACACCCCCCTCCGCTTACCTCTTCAGACACTGACCTTGGGACAAAGAAGGAGCTCAAGGGCATCCTGAAAAACATCCAGAATCTTGCAGAAATTGAACGCTCCATTGCCAACCTTTACAACCAAGTGGACAAAAACTGCAAGGTGCCCAAATTTATCATGAAACCACAAGTGACTGAGGAGTCAGACTGTGCTAACAAGCGACAAAGCTCTGATCCAGGTGAAAAGCAGAGCTCGCCAAAAATGACAAACTCAGCCTCTGAAGTTCAGCTTGATTCAACAAGTCTGAACGGTGCTGAAAATGGAGTGAGTCGGAATCCAGCAGAGGAGTTTCAGGAGACGAATGAACTAAACACAGACAGCTCTATTCCTGCTGAACACTGTGATTTTTCATCTCAATCTACAGTGTTCTGACTTATTTTCTGTTCCGTGTTCTCACTATTTCCATTTCATCTTCTCCATGTCTGTTTTTATTTTTTCATTTACACTTGTTTCTACTGATTCCTTTTTTTGTGTTTTTTGTTTTGTTTCTCAGTTTTCTATACTATATGCTTTGGTCATATCAAAAATTACGAGTGACTTGTTTTGGAGAGATTTTTTTACTTGATTCTTTATGTGAAAAACAAACTTTAGATGCCTGCCAAGAAATCTGCTTATATTTGCCCCAGTGACTGTATAATATGCTTACAGACTTGCATTTGAATAAGACAAAAAAAGTGTATTTATTCAGTCTGACTTTTTTTTTCGTAGTTTGATTATCAGAACTGCAGTGAGATCTGGAATATTATTAACTGTTCCCTAGACATAACAGATTTGTGGATTTATCATTTCAAACATGTTTTTTTTTTTCAGTTCCACATCTTGGCAATATAATTTTAAAGCCAAAGCTATTTTAATTAAATAAGAATAAATATTCACATTTGTAAACTCCCATAATTAAAAAGGTTTGAGTTTTTTTTATTATTAGTATTTCTACAAAGTTAGTGAACTGTATTCAGAATGTTGCTGCAGTGCCACACAGTGTTTTATTAGGTGTAGTTTTTTATTCATAAAATGATGGGGGGGGGGGGGGGGGGGGATGATTAAAACTGCAGAGATGATGGAAGCAGTAAAATGAGATGCATTTTATGAAAACAGGAGCAGTAGACAGTACACACAGTGTAGATTTAAACACCATCTGCTTACACAGCAGGGCTGCAGTAGGTCATGGTCAGTGCCACAGTCTTGTGATTCCAAGGGTGCGAGTTCTCGCCCAGGTTGTGTTAGGAAAGGAATTGGGTGTAAAACAATTGCCAGATCTTCTGTCTGAGTTGTTTTGCTGTGGCAACCCTTGCAAAAGGAAGCAGCTCCAAAAAAAGAGAGAGAGAGGAAAAATGGTTAGCTCATATAGAAACGAGAGAAAACATTTGGAGAACGTGTTCAAATTTCTGCACAGATTCTTTCAGTGTGATAAAGGAGGAACTGTGATATTTGCTCATTGAAAACGCTAATTAGACAATCAATCAATCATTAACCAAGGCTGCCTGTGGGACTGTCGGTGTTAACTTCTTCTCTCTCCCATCCTTCTGACCCTCGGGCTGCCTGCTTTTCTCACTCTTACTTCCCTTCTTATTTCATTTAGCTTTAATGCCTTTCAATCCCTGGCCTCTAGTTGTTAATCTTTCCTCTTGGTTTCCATTCCTTTAAGTTTCTTTCAGCTTATGGAATTGCAGGTTTTTTTTTTCCACTTTTTGAGCTCAAGTATTTCTTTTTTTCATTTTCTCTCCTCTCTCTACTTTTTAACCCATATACCCATCCTGTTTTTGTTTCACCCACCGTGCACTAAGGCAAATGGACGTGGCAAACCTCACATCCAGACCAACGTGATGTTTGATTCATCACATGTTACCCCTGATGGGCAGATCAAAGGCCAGCTAATTCTGTATTCCATGTTCGCTACATGGGGTAATCTCCTTTGTAAAGAGTCTAGCAGCTCACACGCTGTTTCTGTCAACCGAAAGTGTAGTGAACCATAATGGATGGTATTCTTTAATATTCAGTTCTTATAATTGGTTTCATCAAACTCGTAGCCTAATTGATAATTCATAAGAGTTTTGTTCTTTTAAAAAAATGAAATTAGAAGGACGTTTATTAGATTTTTTTTTTCCCCTCAAGATTAGGGACAGGATCAAAATGAAGTTGATGTAATTTTAATGTAAAATTATGTTCTGTGTGATGGGCAATGGTTGAATTGTTGCCAATCAAGCACTGCATTTTTCTAGTCTGTTTCTAGAGAAATAAAACTTGTTTTATTACAGATATCAACTTTAGATGGGCAATAATTTGCGCAGATTGATTCAGCTAACCTTTTTAAAATGGAATGCACATGTTTATTAGAACAGTGTATAAATAAAACAGATGGTTATTCTGGAAAGCTCAATTGAATTCAGATTTTTTTTTTCATATTGTTTATACAATAAGTCAAATATCTGTGTGAATGGTTCACTGGAGTGTTTTTCAGGGGTGCCAACAATTATCATGTTAGATGTTGACTGTATTATGTCCTGCCTGTTGTTTCTGATAACATCGTCATTATTCCACAAGTGCATAGAAGTGTCACACAGAAAAATCTCCTGTTGTCAAGAACAAGTGGGAAATCCTATTGTGATGTAAAACGGTTGATAACTTCTTTAGCTCAGAATTTAGATACCAATGTCAAGCCTGTATTACGAACATGACCCAAAAACATAGCAAAGAATTTAATACAGTTAGCTTACCTCGGTCCACTCACTTGGCTGTGACTGAAACTAAACTAGGTAAGGAAATTTGTGTTTTGGTAGATTCTTTGTTGTCACCATGCTTTTTGGCAATCAATTTCATACTATACACCTGCTTGACAACACGTGGGGGTACCAGAAGCTCGAAACAAGTGTCAATAGCAACAGCAAAATAAGCTGCTTGGCTATGGCTGAGAAGATTTGGCAAATTTTCCGTATGTGCAACCCACATTCTCAGCTCTACGGCTCATCTCACTAATGCATGTTCCTTACATGTCAAGTTGTACAAGTTGTCTGTAAATCTTCCCCCATTTTGCTTGTATACAGATGCATAGGGCAATCTTACAGATTTATTTAAAAAGATTTTCCCTTAAAGGGGCAATATCATGTAAAATCAACTTTTTTGAGTTTGATATCATGTTATAATGTTATAATCTCATAAAAAAAACATGCCCAAAGCCTTGCTTTGACTCATTCATGTGTGTTTGAGAAATCCTGCAGTGTTTTTAGACAGCCATGCTGAGGAGCAAAACGACAGGTGGGGACCAGAAACGCCTTTTGGGACCAGAAATGCCTCTGGGACGTGTCTTTAAGCCAAGCTTCCTCATGGCAGAGCGCACCCCCTCCACACTCCCCACATACCCTGCCCATGACTCCTGCAGGCTCCCGGGTGAAACTGAAAGTGAAACTTAAATTGTCTGTGGGTCTCCTAACATTAGTTCTCACTCGGTGAAGCTCTTTTCAGATAAAAAATACCTTTGAGGAAATATATTTTCAGATGCCAGGTAAACTGCATCATGGCAACCCCACCCCCTTCCCCTAGCAAGCGTGAACCCCCCCTGCGCATCGAAATGGGCGAGAAAAATCGGAAGGTGGGTCTTAAAGAGACAGAGGACAATTTCCAGTTGTTTAGAAGAGGAAGTGATGAGAAGATAAGTTTATTTTCTATCTAAACATAAAAACAGAATTTTAATAACAGCTAAAGATGACATAGATACTTTATTATAGTATAGTATTTAAATGTATGCCTGAGAAACACATAATATTGCCCCTTTAAATTTACATGCCTCTCAGAGCTGACAGGCAGTAAGGACCTCCTTGTCCTTCCCTCCCTGGTTCTCTGCCACTGCAAATACTGTTATCTCCACCCCGAAGTCCTCCCTTCACAAGCCAACTGTCTGCTTGACCACTCCAAACACACACACACACACACACACACACACACACACACTGTTGAAGTGTCTGAGAGTATTACAGCTCTGGCACTCTAGAATTACATAAATTAAGTAGAGAAGCATTTGAGACACATTTGAGATGTCTATGACTACTTTGTGACTGTATAGAGAGAATGTATTTTTTTTAACTTGTTTAAAATTCCAGCTGGGGTTTCAGAGAATCCTGTGGAAAAAAAAGGAGATAACGCCGCAAAGGCTGTTTGCCAACTTGTCTTCAACAGATACTGGCTTTAGCATTTCCTAAAGGTAACAGAACTACTCTCAAGCCTGTAAAACGTTCTAATTTATGTCGGATTTCAGGGCAGGGTGTTGTTCAGCAAACATCAGAGCACTTATTCACTCATTATCAAAGTCAGTTTTAGCCTCCTGGTCCCGGCACAAAATATAAATCCTGATAGGATTTTAGGGCCGCTCTTCTTATTTCTCCCTTCATACATCTTTTTTATTACTCGTCTTCCACCAAGACCTCGCGTGTGCAAACTTTCCAGGGCTAATGTCCACTGAGCCATTATCCTTGATGTTGCATGAAGCAGCAATGGCCAGCAGGCGAGCCAACAAGTCATCAATCAGATCCTGCTCCCATCATCAAGCTCTGCCTGGGAGGCGTGGCATATGGCTCTGTCCCATCCCTGCTCCCTGGTCCCTGCACATAACAACAGATTACAGCTCTCCTGAGGAATCTCACATCATTGCTGGGCCATATATCTAAGTGTATGAAAGTCGTCATTATTTATGGGTCCAGACAGGCTACACTTGTGCGCTCGTGAACCTGGAAGTTTCAGTCAAGCTACTTAACTTACAGTTTCTTATTGACTTGTATGCTAAAGGCTACACACACTGCATGTGTKTTATTTTCATGAGCAAATGTAAGTTTTTTTCTGTTTTATTAAATCTGAACTTTTACAGTTTCCTCGCTTCTTTATAAACAAACTATCAATTGCCATAACAGAAAGTGAAGAATCCTTATAGAATCATGATGGTTAACTCTAATCTTATTATGATGTAATAACCAAAGACAGATTTATTTGCATTAARCAACAAATCTTTCCCCTTAATCACAACATTCTCCGCTTATCTTTCAGCATATTATTTCTATATGATCATGTAAAAACTGACTTTCCTTTTTATTTTTCCTTTTTCAGTCTCACTTGCTACTTTGATGTTTGCATTTATTTCATCTGTTTTTTCTGTTCTTTTGGATGAGATAACAAGGTGGAAAAAAAACACAAAAAAACAGCCTATACCAGCATGATAACTGTGCAGCCTTAGGCATCCTTTTGAAAGCTGAACAATATCTGCAACTCTAATTTAACACATGAAAATGCACAGTAAGTAAAGCTGCAGTTTAATCTTTGGTCAGCAGAATATAGACACAGTAGTCCTGTAGACTGAACAATATACTCTTTTCCTTTAAGTRCTTAAAATGTTGATGTCAAGCCATGTTCATTGTTTGTCTTATTTCTTTTTTTTCCTACAATGCTCAGAAGAAGAGGCGGCAGGCCGGTAAGCAGTTTTGTCTTTTTTTTCAAATATGATTAAATCTGTAAACTGTTGATGTTTAACTGATAAATCTGAAGGCAAGATATTAAATTTTCTGTGCAGTTTTCTAACTCCTRTTGCTTGGTTAGCATCTTTTCCAGCCTTTCTTTATTCCATCCGTATTGTTTTGGTTCTATTTTTTTGTCTTTTTCTTTTCATGGTTTTCGCCATGGATCAAAAACCTATGAGGGAAGTGTTTTCTGGCTTTGAATTAGAAACAAAATGCTGAACTCTTCCTATGCTTCTGTCTTTCCTGACCATCCTTTCCCTTCATTATCGTATCCCTCGTCTGTACTAACCTTTGGCAGCAACAGCAACTGCTGAGGCCATCTCTTCTGAGACCTGAGGTAGAAACCCTCCCGCTCTTCCTAATTCACAGAGATTGTAGTCATTTCCCTTTGTCTRTACTCGCCCAGGTTGCTGCTGTTAGTCTCCTTTGGCTGTTTTTAACCTAAGGAATGCTGAGTAATTTCTTTGTCTGCCTCTGTGAACTTGCAGGAGCTCTCCATGGAGTCAGGTATCGACCCAGGCCAGGATTACTACGCACAAGACTACTATAATTACGACCAAGGGTGAGCATGCGACCAGTTGCATCTCTCATTAATCGTACAGTGCTCTAATCCAAGACACAAGTCAGCATTGATTTATTCCCCAGCTTAAAGATTAGTATTGTTTATTTTGACTTTGCCTGTGTTCTAAGGTGTTTTGGAAGCTGATCATTACAAAACTGAATATTTTTCCACACTTTGTCACATTCCAAATGAGTATTTTAGCCCTTTCACTCCCACCAAATGAGATCATTTAAGTGGTTTTGACATGAGCACCTGAGCCTCTGAAAGCATTTCCCAATTTAATAGATTCAAGGTGTTTTGGCTCGCTCGTTAACTTGCCCATATGTTCTAAAGAGGCAAAGCATGAAACTCGAAGCCATCCCAGCTGCTGAGAAATTGTTAAGCATTAGACACACTGGCTCTGTTACAGGTGACTTGCCCCATTTTGGGAATTACTGCTCAAGTTTATCAGAAGCTTTTACACCTTAGAAGCTTAGATCAAAGAAGAAAACATCAAACTCTTGTTACAAACTTTCATTAGTGGAATTAGGTGTGGTATTATGTACCGTAGTTACTCACCAGCTTATAATGCATGTCCTCTTAACTCATTCTAATTAACATGTCTAAATCACACTGGCATTTGTTTGCCATGTGTTTCATGTTTCCCATGAGATATCATATTGCATAAGTTGCTTAATTCCTCCAATAAGTGTGCCACCCGTATGATGGAAAGACTTTTGAGCCGTGTGTGTTTAAAATGAGGGGAAAAGTTATTACGCAGTCAAAAAAGCATGTGGGCTTCACAGCAAACCTCTAATGTTCAGGAGACACAGACACACAATTTTCCACTATCTGTCTTCCTTTGTGTACATTTTTTTCTGAAATCTTTAGGATCAGCTAATAATCCTAAACAGACATTTTATGTAAGAGTAGCTGCTGTCCATTCAAAAAAATAAAATTAAAAATACAAAAAATAAACACAAAAATAAAAAATTACCGTCATTTTACCAGGTAAGTCCCATTGAGATCTCAGATCTCTTTTTCAAGGGCGGCCTGGGCCTGAAGGTAACCTATTGTACATGTTTTGGGGGGTGGGGGAAACTGGAGTACCCGGAGAAAACCCATGCAAAAAAAAAAAAGGAAGGAAAACACACCTGAGGGTATGTCTATGTTTTTAATAGAGTAAAATTATCATGATTGCTTTGTCAATTTAAAAAAGAAGTAGAAAAAAATACAAAAGTTATTTGTAGACTATTCAGATTGCTAAGCCACTTTTTCAGTAGGCTCTGAAAAGGTGTGTAGC